GGGGGGGGATGTTACTGAAGAAGACGTTCCAAGATGAAAGTCACAATGTTATGAAAATCAAGTTGTCATAACAGAGAAGAGTCACGGTGGAAAACGGTCGCATGGATTTTCTCACACAAGCACAACTGCAAATTTATTCTTAAATTAGCGCTGCGTTATTCTGGTAACATGTCACCTTTAGCCTTGCATTTCCATTTGTTGTTGCACTTGTCGTCATCGGGTAATTCTGGAGCATATGTGGCTGAATGTGAAAAAAAAAAGAAAAAAAAAAACCAAAAAAGCAAGGTACGCCCTAGACTGGTTGCCAGCCAACAAACCGCCATTCGCACCCCTGGACAATTTAGAGTCTTCGCTGAAGCCTCTGAGGCGGACATGCTAACCACCATCTACTTTGTGGTTGCGCGTCTACTTTATTCTTGTACAACCACAACTATTTTCTACCCCCCTGACCCACACACACACATAAAATCATAACTTCATTCTTGTAGAGCAAACCCTAAAAAATACTTTTTGGTGGTGCGGGGGGGGGCTATCCTCTGTTTCTCAGTGCGAATCTCATCTAAGTGTTTTGTTTGGTGGCATTTTGGAGAGCCACAATTTTTTAGGTGATTTCAGAGGCAATTTTTTTTTGGGGGGGGTATCCATTGGAAATTGTAAAACTTTCAGGGGTGGCGTCAATTATTTTGATGTCATCTATTCTTGGCAGGGCTCAGTCTCTCTCCACCCACAAAATCAGCAATATACAATGATTTATTTGAAAAACTATGACTTCATTCTCATAGCTTTTCTCTTCCTTCGGCTTATCACCCAACAAGGTATTTTGGAATACTTTTGGAAGGGAATTATTTTGATGTCATCTATTCTTGGCAGGGCTCAATCTCTCGCCACCCACAAAACTAGCAATATACAACGATTTATTTGAAAAACTATGACTTCATTCTTATAGCTTTTGTATTCCTTCGGCTTATCACCCAAGGTATTTTGGAATATTTTTGGAAGGGAAAAAAAAAATCAACAAGTTCCACCCTGCAGTCAAATGGAGAAAGTGAAGACGAAGCAGTTGATTTGCATTGGCGCACGTTTTTGCTCTCTGTGACTCATTCTTGGGTCACTTTTGTCGCTTGAGAGTTTTGTGTGGATGTGTCAGACAGTGCGGGCGGCGAATGCTCCCATTGCACCCACATCGTGCTGTACATGAAACAAAATGTTCTTTTTTTAACATTGGCCCATACTATACAGAGGCCTTTCTTTGTCATTTTTTCTGGCAATATCTTTCGTTTAGCCTTGGTTTTATCATCGCGAAGTGCGTTTTTGGAAAGCATCGAGTATTTCTTGTATAACGAGTTTGATCAAACACGATTCAAAGGCATTCTTCAAACTAGAATTCGGAGCAAAGTGCAAATAAGAAAACACAAGAAAGACCGTCTCAGCCGACTGATGTGTGAGTCCGCGGTCTTCACTGGATTTATGCGGTGACCGTGCCAAACAGCGCCACAGAGACGGACGGCAAAGTCGGAGCAAGCCAGTGCAACTGTCACGGCTGATATGCGCAATGGCTTAGCTAATTGTCCGAATGATATCCTCATTGCAATTACATATTTCGGAGTCGAGGAGCGCCACGCTTAGAAACTGACAGAAGACAGTTTTTTTTTGTTTTTTTGTTGCTCTGCATCACGGGTGCCCAGCCTGTTTTTGATCAGCAAGCTCTGACAAGCCCGATCATTTGAAACGGGCGCGTTGGAAGAGGGAGACACCGAAAACAGGCTTGACCCTCTCCTTGTTGCCTTTGGATGAGAGGCCGGGTACATCCCGGACTGATTGCCAAGAAATCACGGGACAAATTTTCACTCATATTTCCAACTGTGGAAAATTTGAAGTGTTCGGTGAGCGTAACGTGCATGTTTTGGGAATGTGGGTGGCAGTACCTTGCGAAAAAGCCAAGCAAGCATGGGGAGAACATGAAAATTCCACGCAGGAGGACCGCTCGATTCTGAGGCTGATGTGCTCACCCTTCCCTACCACATTTATTTTTTCAGATGAGTTTTTTTTTTTTTTTCGGGTAAAAGCAATGAAATGGCAGCCTGAAAAAAAAAACAACCGTCAACAATGGTGTGTTTGTTCACTTTTGATCTCAAGTTTGGGTTCAAATGCTCAATGAAGTCATTGTCGGTGGCAAATCAGGAAGTTATATTGGATCCGCTTTCAGATTTCTCGGAGTCCTGATGCAAGTCAAAGTGTCAAATAAGTCAAGCGAGTCACGTCAGTCGACTGTTATGGTCGCGCCCCACAAAAATTGCCCGTATGGGCACATACACCAAAAGACGTACAAACTCACCCTCAACGCAAGACAAGGCAGTACCAGTCTGCCGCTGCACAACTCAGACATGAGGCGGAGGGCAGGCAGACACACACACACACACACACACACACACACACACACACACACCCACACAC